AAATAATAATACGTGCGATAGATACCCAGCCAATAAATAAATGTTAACCTCACCGAGGTTTTTGTATGCAGGATTTGATCTGAAACAAGATGGCCAATAGCCCCGCTTTGTAGATGGCCTCATCAAAGCGGCTGCGCTTCCAACTAAAGGTGGCTTCACCCGGCCGAGCCAGCTGCCAGCCAAGCCACCGAGGCGCTCGAGTGGGGCCAGCCGGTTAGAAATAAATACTTTAAAAATACTCTCAATATTTTTTTAAGTGTAATGGCTCTTTGTGTGATGCCACAGTTTGTTTTACTCTATTAATGATTTACGACTTGCTGTCTTAATTAATCCTTACATAAACTACAAACACCAGCCACTGTTACAACTGTTCAAGACTACTCTCTCAACTAGCTCAGACCGATTATACTAAATAGGTGAAATGTAAGTCACCACGGACCTGAATCGCTCTCCCGAAGTACTGGTGAAGAAACTCTACAAATACCCACATAAATACATTAAGACGAGGATAAATAATCAGTGATACAAAAAATGTCTCGCTTAAAATAATAAATACATATCATTTAGTCCAATGTGATCCTTACGTTACGGAGGAATTCATAAATTAACTTCTCTGAAATAAGCTTACACGCGGGCGAGTTCCCACGGCTTACGACTGGTCTAAAACACCTCAGCATGACGCGCTGCTAACACTACGGCATTTCTAAGACTTACCTTCAAGTACATCATTACCAGCTTATCAGTCCCTCGGTTGGCAGTATATTGCACTGTCATGCTTAAAACAGCTCTAAGAGAAAGGCTCCTGCTCACGGACCTACTCGGGGGTGCGGAAGAAAGAAGGGAGCTGCTAGGGGAGACAAATCCACTAATACTGTTGGCACTCGAGAGCACAGTAACACTGTCCCGTCAGAAAAGTGAGGTAATGGAGAGGGGAGCGGGCCCCGCCGGCCGCCGCCCCGCTACAGATGCGTGAGCTTGGGCGCCTCCTGCATCCGTCCCTGAGAGGTGTGGTGAGAGGAGAGGTCCGTGTAGGTAGGGTGGGGGTCGCAAGGTCCGTGGTGGTGGCCGCCGGGGATCTGTGCGGCGCAGCTGTAGTCCACGCTAGCGGAGGAGGGGTGCTGCAGGTGCCCCAAGTTGAACATGGGGCCTGAGGCTGGCATCGAGTCCACGAAGTTGCCCCCCACGTAGACGGGGCTGCCCTGCAGGCTGGGGTTGGCGAAGCCGCCGCCGCCGCTCTGCATGGGGTGGGGGTCGTACTCCGCGCCCGCGTAGCGCTTCTGCTGCGGCAGGCAGCTGCTCAGCGGCGCCGTGTAGGCGGCCAGCCCGTACATGCTCTGCTGGGACTTGGCGAAGGAGGTGGGCGAGGGCGCGTCGTAGCTGAGGCTGTTGACGCCGGGGAGCTGGCTGGAGTAGCCGACGTGGTTTGGGCCGCTCAGGGGGGGGCTGCGGTCCGGGGACTGTCCGACGGGGGAGTGCATGATGCCTTTGGCTTTTTGGTCCTTTTTGTACTTCATCCGGCGGTTCTGAAACCAGATCTTGATCTGCCGCTCGGTCAGGTTGAGCAGGTTGGCCATCTCCACACGGCGCGGTCGGCACAGGTAGCGGTTGAAGTGAAACTCCTTCTCCAGCTCCACCAGCTGCGCGCTGGTGTAGGCTGTGCGCACCCTCTTGGAGGCCGGCCCGGGGGGGCTCTTGTCCTCGCAGCTCTCTCCTGCGGGGAAGAGGCACAAAGACACGTTGGTCTCCCTAGAAAACCCCCCCTCCCCTTCCTCCCGGGGTCCCTCGGAGACCCGCCGTCCCCTCTCGCTCTGCCGGCACCCAGGGAGTGGGCACAGGGAACCCGGGGGTGGCCTCCCACCCCTCGCTGCTCGACATACACACCCTCCCTCAGCTAGCTCCCCCAACAGACCCCCAGCGGCCCCCCGTCCAGGCGCTACCGAGAGCCGTCGGGGCTGCGCCTGCCGCCGCTGGGCTGGTGGGGGAGCGAGGCGGGAGCCCCTACCCTGCCCCAGCTACAGCGCCTGGCAGGGCCGGGACCCCAGAGCGGGGGGTGTAGGCGATAGTAGCTGGAGGAGTAGGGGACAAGATGCGGGACCAGGGGGTTCAGCCAGAGGGGTTCAGCCCGAGGGGCTCAGCCCCACCCCCTGGGCAAACAGTGGGCTGGGGCGAGGGTGTTGGGCTACCTGGGGGGGCGCAGGTGCTTTTCTGCTTGGAGTTCTGCCGGGACTCCTTCATCCAGGGGAATATCTGCTTGCTGAGAGTGGCGGTGGCCGAGCCCGAGGAGTTTGGGCCCCCCTTGGCTTTTTTCGGAGGGGGCACACTGGGAGGGGGGTTGGGCGGGGAGGAGGGCGGCAGGGCCGGGGGTTGCTGCTCGCCCATCCCCGGGGGCTGACTGCCCCCGGGGCCGCCCCCGCCCGGCCGCATGCAGCTCCCGCTCAGTTCGCTGCCCTTGTGGGCCGGGGCGCGTCCGGGCGCCGAGCCCTGGACGGAGCAGGCGGAGCCGGGGTACTCGCTGTCCAAGCCGGCCTGGCCGTAGGGCTGGTGGGCCGCGCCGTAGGGGTAGGCGTCGGCCTTGCTGTAGGTGTAGCCCCCGAAGAGCCCCGCGTTGTCGTAGTAGGCGGCTTTCTGCATCCTCTGCTCTGCGATCGCCGAGGCCCGCGGCCCCCGCTCAAATAACATTGACCGCCGCCCTGCGCCTCACGTCGTCGGCCCAGGCCACTCGCAGCCACCTGGGGAGGGAAACAGCGGGGACACAAAAGAGGCTTTCAGTGGGGGGAGCCCCTCAGCCCAGCACCCTCAGCCTCAGCCTCCCCACCATGGGAGGACTGGGAGACATCAAGGAAGGAGCAGGGGACATCAAGAAAAGAGCAAGAGACACCAGATTAAGAGCAGGGGACACAAGGCAAGGAGCAGGGTCGCCAGGCAGGAGCCCGTGCAAACTGGGGCACCCCAGGCAGAGAGCAGAGTACACCAGGGAAGGATCGAGGCACAGCAGTGAAAGAGTCACCCAAGAGCGATGGTGCAGGGGGGAACGGGGACACATTGGTGGGACTTCTACAGGCCACCTTTTGAGGCATTCTGGGGCATGTTTCATTGCTTTGTTTTGTCTTTGGACTGTTCCCGCTCGAGTTTGGCTGGATCGCCCTCCGCGGTTCTAGGCAAGGGCCCTCAGTGAGCAACTGTGCTGGGTGGTGTCCCCAGAGACCCACCGGCCCATTTCGGCCGGGAGCACCCGCGCCCCCCGCGCCTCACGCGTGCGCACGGCCGTGCACGGCTGACATGATGGATGGAGCCCGGGCTGCGGCCGGGCAGAGGCAGAAAAATCCCGTCCCCTTTGTAAACCCGCCCTTCTTCTTCCCCTGGATTCCTCCAGAGTTAAAGTATAACCGGCGCCATTCACTCCCTTCACTTTGCACTATAAAGGAAGTCTCAGGTCAGCTCCCCTATTTTAATTCTGTGATTAATTAAATTCCCTCACCCAGCGTTTCTCGTCCTTTTTATTTGTACCCAGTAGAAAGAACCCGAGACATTTGAGATAATTTTTAGAGGATGCTTTTCTTCTTCCAGCCTGTAAATTTATGGCGCTCCCCTCCGCGCCCTCCCACATCAGGCTGCTCACACCGAAAACGCAAGGTCCCCCTAGGGCAGATATATTGGGGCAGAGCTGTTGCCTTCCTCCTTGCTGCTCCCAAAACTTCTCTGCGTTTCGTACAACATGGAAACTGTTCCGCATTTTGTTGCGGCTTTCTAATATTCCCTCTTCCTATTTTTCTTGTTGTATAGGGCTTTTCTCCGACATTTTTGGTAATTTTGTAAATTAGCACAGGCTTCACCTGGCAATGTAAGTGTGTAACTCAACGTATCTTAAGATTTGTTGTATTTCTGCAGGATTTAAGCCTATTAACGTACCAGAGAAGAGTAGATAGAAATTTTTGAACACTAACCGATAATTATAATTCTCCAGCCTATACTTAAACAATACTACCACAGTATTCCTTTTTCTCCCCCAGCAATTGGTCCCGCCAAGTACCGCTTATATGTTCTCTAAAATTCACCGGGAAACACATCTCTGTAAGTAAAAATAACCTCAGCGAGCTGCGATCCGCGGCCCCTCTTGCAGGTTTATCCCATGTCACAAAACGCCGGGGTCCTTTTCTTCCCTGAACAAAAGCTTGGGATGATCTTTGAAGCTGATGGAAACGGGAAAAGAACTGTACTTCTCTCCTGGAAAATTTCAGTTTAAAAAGTCTTTGGGAATGAACGGTGGCGATACAGATGAGTTTTAATACACTGTGATAATCTTGACGAGTCTTGAAAGTATTTTTGTCCAACTAACTCTATCACTCGTTTCCCACTTCTATCATCTACATTTTCAAGAGCGGTCTGGACTGAGGACTTTTGTTAGCACAACACTGGCCTAAACGTAGGCTTTTATGTGCCTTGTGAAATATAGTTCCCAAAAGAATACGCAGAATCTTAAGAAAGAATATTGCTGTTAAGCTGTTAAAAGCCTTATTTCTTTTCTGAAATACCAACTGCTTGTGAACTCTGCTTGAACCTAAAAAGGAGGCTATGGGCCATAAATCACATGGACAATGCTCAACTGTTTGGTGGCTCATCTTTAGATCTTAAAAAGAGAGAGAGGGAGAGAAAGAGTGAGACCTTTCCAGGGTTTGATTTTTCTACGAGTGCAAGGCCTGGGGTGATGTTTTTATAGGTAACACCAAAGCGGGGGCTCAACACTTGGTGGTTTGGCCAGAAACAGCCTCAAGGGGGAAAAAAAAAAAAAAGTGACATCCAAATGGTGAGGCCGAGCTGTGGGAGGTGGGCTCGGAGGCACCGAGGGTAGGAAACCGCAAAGTATCCATGTCTGTGTTTCAGATTTCCCTTCCTCCTCTCTAGAAAGATTTAACCTCATCTGAACTGTTAGGCGTTGCACATGACGATGAGACTTTTTGTCCTGCCACTGGTTCCAGCGCTTTTGGGGGATACCGACCCTCTAACGGCTCTGCCCGGGGAGCAGCCGGGAGCTGCGTCCACCCGCGCGTGTGCGCGGAATGCGGCTGGCCCACACTGACACCGGCCCGGCGCTGCCAGGCGCTTTCCTCCCGACACTTTCATATTAAGCAGTTCTCCACTAAAACTTCCACTACACTTAATTCTGCTTCGGATCAATATCTAATATGATACCGAATAAATAAGAGGCGGTGAGAGTGGCCAGCGAAGCGGTTATTAAAGCAGCCGGAGCTCTCAGGGTGCATATCAATGCACCTGTCATTGCGGTTTGTAACAAAATTTATGACTGCTAGCGCCGTGGCAGTAAACGCTCCGGCCAGGAATGAAAAGGAAAACACTTCCCAAGCCTCGGCACTTTCAGAAGTGCAAAGCAGCCGGCGCGTAGGAGGGAGCCCGGCAAAAGAATCCCCCGCTCGGCACGTTTCCCGGCCGCCGGCCCGGGGCAACCCTGTATATAAGGAAAGCGCTGGAGCCGCCGCCGGACCTGGCCGCGGGCTGGGCACCCACCGCTGGGGCTGCGCTTGAGCCTCAGACGAGGGATGTCTCGTCTTTGAGGGCGCTGAGAGCTCTGGGGAGCGCGAAGGAGCCCCACGAGATACGGAGCGGTGGCCACCGTGGGGCCTCAGACCAGCTACGGAGCCCCCCCAGGGAGCCATCCGCTCCCCGCGGCTGGGTCCAGGGCTTGGCTGCTCCCCAGCCGGGCTCGGCTCCCGCGGAGCAGGGGCCGCTTTCTATGGGCTGTTCATTATCTGACGTGGGGGGCGGCGGCGCGCCCCGGGTGCCGCCGGCGAGGGTTAGACCGGGAGCCGCCGGGCGAGGGTTAGACCGGGAGCCGCCGGGCGAGGGCCCGGCTCGGCGGGCCGGGGCCGGGCTGTGCTCCCCGCGACGCGCTTGTCGCGATAGGGGAAGCGAGAGATGGATGGAAAAGGAAATTTAGAGAACTCACCACACTTATGTTTTTTCTTGATTTTTGACTTTAACTGTGTGAGTAGGATCTTCAGGTTCCTTTGGATAATCCGTGGGCACGGACCTGCAACAGAAGTGATAACTCTCAGCGGAAACTGCTTTGTTTTGGACTTTCTTCCTTAGGACTTTGTTAATAAATGCACATCTCGTCCTCAGCCCCTCACCGTGTCTCTCCGTCCGCGTCAGACCTTTTACAAGACAAAGGGCAGATGTTTCTCTTCATTTATTAATAGCGCTTTGAGAGAGGCGGGGAGCAAACAAACGAGCAAAATACTCCGGTTGCGGGTCGGACCCGGACAGTGCGGCCTGCAGCAGCCGCTCCGACGGGCCCCGCACACCGGCCGCGAAGCAGCGCCCGCCTCTCCGAGCGCGCAGCGGGGGCCGAGACGCGGAGAGGCAGCGCACGAGGGTCCGGGAACGCCTTTGCAGGGGAGCTGCGGGCACCTTCGATGGTCAAAACCATCGCGCCCGCACCCACGGCCCGCGGAGCCCTCGGCGGAAACGAAGCTAACTCGAGTGTCTCTCCATTTCTCCCCCCTAGACCCCAAATAAGACAGAGAGAAAGATAAGCGAAGAAGCCCCAGCACTGAAAATGCACCGCAAATAGTTGTGTCTCGAAATAAGTATTTTGCGTTTGGCTGTGCAATGTGTCGATTCAGGACTTTAAGAACTTAAGAGTGCCAGAAAATCCCCCACAAAGAAGCCCAGGTCATTATAAAGACGATATCTAGCCACCATAAGCCTTTGAAATGACCTTTGGCTCGTACAGCAATAACTCACCACTTAATGAACAACCAACGGAAGCGCCTCCGATAGCTCACAACACAACAGACCTTACAACTTTCCACCAAGTCTTCTCTCTCCCTAACCAAACTCAGTAGGATGCTACATTCCCCTTCCAAATCACCTTAATTTATGCTGGCAAACAGGAGTTAGGGAAGTGGAGCTTCATGATTACACATGATGCTCTCTCAGGTTCCTGGTCCGGGCCTGTCCCGGTAACGTCTTATATAATATATTCACGTGGGCGTACGTCAACTTTAAGTGCCTTATTTTTTTTCAAGATAATTCATTAGAAATAGCACTTTACAGAGTGTATGAAGGCAGCCTAAGTTGGGTTGCACTTTAGCCCCTGAGCAGAGAGATCATAATATTGCAAACCGAGTCATTGTTAGCTGCTGTTGATTAACACGGTAAGTTTTCATTTCGTGACTAATTAATTATCGACTTCTCATCCCTTTCCGAAGCAGCTTCTCAGCCTCACAAGCGATAGCTTTCTTGCTCTAGACATGCTTTATTTAGCCAGAGCTTGGCCAAATACCAAGATTTCCACGGCCACAGGAAGAGCCCCCAAAGTTTGTACTGCGAAGAGAGGAGTCCGGGCACGCTGGAGTTGTGCTCGACTCCCAGCTCTCGGAGAAGACGTTGCCAGAGCTAAACCCAGGGAAGTCTTTAGAATTATTTAGGTGCGGGACCAGTATAGATATTATTGAAATTTTAGGTGAAGTTATAACTGAGTGCTTCCATCGAGCCAAATGAAATGCTGCTTGCAGTAATTGGATTCAGCTGACTAACTTGGCAGGCCAGCAGCTTGGAGGCATACAGCTAAGAAAAATGTTCACTGCTTTTAACTTCTGATCGAGCAGAGCAACACGCAATAGAAAATAAAAATAAAAAAATAAACACCTTAACTTTCTCCCTTTCCCTTCGCCTCCCGCCCTGTTTCCCGCGGGGCACTCCGACCCCCGCGGAGGACTCGCCCGGGTGACTCGGGGCGGTCAGGGTCTGCTACAGCCTTACACACGCTCCTGCTCGACAGCACAACTCCGGGCTTTACGCTGGAGCTCTACAACAGACAACCGAGAGTTCACCCGAGCTCCACGCAGGCCACCAGTCAGTGGAAACAGGCGTTCCTGGGAGAGCCGGGCTAGTTGCAACAGCCCAAGAGGGAGCTGAGATGTAAGTGTATTGGGAGAGGCTGTGTGGTCGCTACCAGATCCCTAGTTCGCCCAGAGAGGCACCGGTCCCCCCCAGGCGTCTTCCCACAACCTTATTGATCAAACCACACAAACGCAGGACAAGAAACTTCTCAGTAGATAAATATCAAGCCATGCTTCAAACAGCATGTGTAACTCGAAGGCATGAGCATACCGGTAATAGCAGCACTAAAACAACTAGGGGAGGAAAACAGCAGCCACTAAGGAAAACGAATCCACGGAGAGGGGAAAAGGTTCGGGAAGACACTTGGCACGAATATTTAAGAGACCCTATATAAGAGCTACATTACCGATGAGCCTATTTTAAATCGCCCTTTACAAATCAACACGGCTACCCCCTGCCCGGCTATCCACGGCAACGCATTAACGTGATGCTCAATCTTACTTTGGCAATGGGAGCATCTAGCAAAGTTGTCTCTCCCTCCTTTCTTTGCTTATTTGTAATTCCCTTCCTGAAACCACCCAAAACTAGGAAAAGGATAGGGTTAAACGTAATCCTCTAGCCTTTGGAAAGGACTCCACTTTTTATTTAAAGAACATAATACAAAGAATATACAGCTTAAAACGTTCAAGGAGGTGGAGACCACTCCGTATAGTCGCAGCCGCTATGGGCAGAGATCGCAAACAAATTCCAGACCGTCTCTGAGTAAAGGCGATAATACAGCCCCTGCGGTTAAACGTCCCATTTTGTCATGCAGTTGCTTACCTGTGTATCAATTTATCATAAACCTGGGTTCCTCACTTTTCAGGATCTGCGCTTGCAGTTCTTAGAATATATCCTTCACCCTTTGTCTGCAGACAATACTCTCCTAAACCTGATCTTGCGGTTTTACAGACATTTCCATACACCAGAATGCCCGATAGAACGAAAACAGGCTCAGGCTCAACTACCAATAAAAGAAAGCGAGTGGAAATCGGAATTTGTTGGGCTTTAAAAAAAAAAAAAATCAACACACAACCCTTTAGCCATCAGCGTCCTGGAACCAACGACAGCAATTGGCCGGCTCCTGGTTTGTTTTGGTTTTAAATCGTGCGGCCATTGATGAATTTTGGGGGCGAGCAGGAGAAATCCCTTTATAATCAGAAATATAGGCACTGCCTTAAAATACAGGCATATTGGCCCACGTGATCGCAGAGCAGCGCGCCGGGGCCGAGGCTGGCGCGCTCTCCGCGCCCCCGCGCAGCGGGAATGCCGCGCCGGGCCCCGCGGGGCGGGCGGCCCCCCGCGCCCCGGCCCGCCCGGCCGCGCTGCCCAGCCCGCGCTCCTTCCGCACCGCGGCCGCGCCGCCCGCACTTACGCGCCCCGCGGGGCCGGCGGAGCCCGGGAAAAGGTGAATTCCGCGGGATGATCCCAGGGCGCAGAAATTCCCAGAGGAGACAGAGGAGGTATTTGGGACTCGCTGCGGCCCAGGGCCTGTGCCGGGGGCAGCTCCGCCGCAGCGCTGCTCTGGCGGATAGGCGCTGGGGCCCACTGGTGTGCGCGAATTTTTGCTTTCTCCGTACCGGGAAGATGTGGGGCAGCGGGGACTACCCGTCTGGAGGCTGAACAAGCGCTGGGAAAAAAATCCTTATGACATTTGTGCGTGTGTGTGTCTGCCCTGATCCTGCCTCCCTTCTCTGTGTGTATGAAGAGACATAGAGCAAACCCGGTGTATATCCGTCATGTGTGCCCACAAAGCTCCCTAACAATTCCAGTTCGGCAAAAAAAAAAAAATATATGCATATATATATATACACACATATATTAGCTCCTCTGATTTTTCTAACATATCTGTAGCTATAAATACACCACACCTAATCTAACATCTGCTATGATTTCATTACCATCCAAAGCATGGGGATGTGACAGTAACGTATTACCTTACAATACTAACCATAAGTGCATTGTAACATTTATCTAAATTACATTGCTTTTCCTGACTTTGCAAACCAGTTATAAAAAGATTGGAGTCCAGTGATGGAAACATAAGTTTAATGTAAATTATTGTGTATGGCTTCGGATTTATAATCCTATATTTCTTCGAAATGATGCACTTAAATCTCGCCTCAAGTAAGAGGTAATGGTTCTTTATATCCTTTTCCGTCAGCCATATATTTCGGTGTCTGGATAGTTTTGCCGAGCCCCCCGCGCTCGCGTGTCTGTGTGTACATACAGCAACCCCTACACGCACAGCGTGTTCTGCATACTTGTGTACATACACACAAAGCCGAACATAATTCTGGCCGCTGTTTAGACATTTTGGATGACGGAGAGGTCTTTCACTTCCTACACAAAAGTGCGAGGGAGAAGCTGGACAGGAGCAAAGAGCACGAAGAGGATTCAGAAGAAAACGTCTTTTCGGAGAACGGTTCGGAACCCCCTGGAAAAAAGCCTCACAGCCCTAGGGTGTCTTTTCAGAGTATAGGGAAAAAAAAAAAAAAAAAAAAAAAAAAAAAGACGAAATTTAACGTGAGCATGGAGGGGACGGCTCAAAGAAAGAAGCACCTTCGCCACCACCAGAATTAAGACATCGGAAAGGGGACTGAAAAAGTATTAAGGAAATGTTAATCCTTTGGCTGGTGGGACTCCAGCTTTGCGCGAATTTGTCTCCAGTAAGGATCTAAGACTTCTTCAATCGGAGCATATGTTCATAGAGCAATAAAACAGAAAGATTTACAGTCTCCGCCCGCCCCCCAGCAGCCTCATACCCTTTCAGGAATTACTTATGATGATTTATAACAACAACTCCGGCAATTGTCAAACTGATAAAATAGCCTGGGCTATATGCGAGAATAAACGCTCTTATGAAAGGGCTACGATTTATGTTCAGGTCCATTTTACTGCTTGTCTTGGTGGAGTTTGGTTTCTTTCCCGGCCCAATAGGATAATATAAAACTTCATTGATAAAAACGTAGGAGTCCTCGTGAAGTAGCAAATCTGTTCCTTAGTCACTAGCAAAGCACATAAACATTTGTCATCTTTGAATAATTGAATTAATGTGTTATTGTTTGAATGTATAATTCATAACATAGGAAACTTTGTCTCTGTCCTGCCTCCAAAACGGAAGCAATAAAAAGCTACAATCTAGGTTTTTTTGGAAATTACTCCAGCAAGGGATAATAAAGAATATCCTGTTTGCAGAAGGTATTTCCAGATGATTGGGATTTCACAGAGAAATCTCAGACTCGTTGTCCATATTCTATGGAGTTTACAAGGAGTGGCTTTATATAAAAACACAAATCCTACTTTCCCCTACTCCGAGCTATTGATCTGGGACTCGAAAGCCGGCATGCCCGCTTGGGGAGCTGGATTCGCCCGAGGCCCCCCGCAGCCCCGCGCCGGGCTGCGAGTCTCGGGCGAGCAAGGACGGAGGGCAGGGCAGGAGCGGACAGGGCGGCAGGGGCAGCGGGGCCGGAGCCGGCCTTTGTGCGGGCGGCAGGGGGAAGGCGCGCTCGGCGCTGGCTCCGGCCCCGCTGTCAAAGACGCACGGCAAAATTTACGACCCTGCTTGCGAAGGAGCTGAGGGCCTTTCCCCGCCGCTGGGACCGGGCAACGGCTGCCCTGACAGACGCATTGTTTCCTCCGCGATGCTCCGCGCCTCCCCGCGCAAGCAGCCGCGGCCAGCGCCGCCACCCCAGGAGGCGGGCGGGCGGTCAGCCTCCCTGTTCCGCGGTGCTCCGCGGCGCTCCGCGCTCGTCCTCTTTCCCCCGCTCCCTGGGAAGCAAAGGTCACCGCTTGCGCCCGGTCCGGTTCCCGGCCGCTGCCGAGCTGGAAATCAGGAAGCAGCGTGCCCTATTTGTCAAGTGTTTGACAGCTGAGTTCATTAAGGCTTAAATAAGGAGAAATAAAAATAAAAAATATTTACGTACCAGGCGTCTCTTTTTCAGCAGCTACCAAAGAGCTAGGTGTGCAGGGAGAGGGACTGCACTCTTTGTATATTATATTCTTGGGATCTCTTCAGTTTTCAAGTCTGATAGAGTCCTTTGCTTGGCAGATTAATGACGACTCCGTGTTTCTTAAGGGACGTGCTGAATTAATTATTTCGCAAATCACGTGGTCAGGACTTGTAGAAATCTATTCTTATCATCTTCCTTGCACTTTGAAATTCTGCCTGTTATGACTGTTCCTAGCAAGATTATTTTGGTCTCTAGGCTTGGGGGGAAGGAGGGAAAAAAAAAAAAAAAAAAAGGAAAAAGAATCAGGGGAAAGGGCTAACAAACATGGCCGTTGGAAGCGGTGTGGCTCTGCACCGAGAGGTCCCTATTTACTGTACTGTACAGTGAGTGGGGTTTGCTATTGACTCTGCCTTTCCTCTTCATTCTTACCTTAACGACTAGTGGTGATATAATATACAGAACTGTATTGATGTATCGGGAGTAACAGGAGGAGCTATTAAAGAGGAGAGAGAGAAGGTGTAATCACAAAATACGCCTCAATATTTAAACTTAGCGACTGTGTGCTTAGAAAGGCACCCTCACGCTCCCCTCCATGCACTCGGGCAGTAGAGACACATGTCTTCTGCTGTGCACCCTGCTCCTTGGCTGGGCTGAGCCAGAGACTGTATTTTTGGACTCGTGCCTTGACCACGCTCCAGGAGAGGACAAGCCCTCAGTGACAAGTACTTATTACAAAAATAGTGCGATCGACTTCTCCTGGCTAGATGTATGTGTTATTGTCTGAGGTGCTTACACAGGGGAGAAAAAAATGTTTGCCTTAGTTGCAGGGGGAAGTTTAAAATCTCCAAGTTTGTGTTTTCTTGTGATCTTTCTTTTGCATCCACTGTCAAAATAAGGGTTACTGCTCAGGAAAAGCTAGTCTCTACATTGCAATTTGAAATTTCCATTTCTTTCTTGCATTGGTTCCTTCCAGGACTCACCTAAAAGGCACACATCTGCGTGGGGATCGAGGTGACTTCAGGTGTGGCTCCTTGACTCCTACCACACATGCAGAAATCCGGGAGTCATTCTAGGAGGGCTTGTTAAATGCAAAGCAGCAGCAAATGGATGACAGGCACTTTTAACTGCAGCCTAAAAGTAAATATAGACTCCAGCTTGGCCTAGAGTCACACCATTATGGCTGGGGCAAACAGCAAACCTGTTCAAAGGGACATTTGGAAGGATGCTATGCAGAGTCACTCATCTTTTAACACTGTAATGATGGGAGGGACCAGCATTTTCACAGAAGAGAGATCTACCTTGTAAGCACTGTTTGTTCAAGGTACAAACCAGAATCTATTTCGCTACACCTTTTATTATTTCAAAATTATGTGGAGGTCTTACATCAAAACTACAGGCGACAGTTAGTATAAATAACGCTTTAATCAATGGCAGCAAAACATCAGCAAAGTCTATAAAAAGCATCACACTTTAACAGAGATGAGAATATTTGCTGAACAATGCGACCGTTTAACAAAGGCTCCAATGCACAACGTTCACCCATGATCAACAAAAATAACCGGCTTCGCTTCATACACAAAATATCTCTGGAGAAGGGTTTAAACCATTAAAAAATAAACCTCGGGTTCGTTTTGCACCGGAGATAAGGACCAGTGGGTGCTCCTGGTCGCTATTACAGACATTCCTGACCCTTCAGAGCATTGGCAGCTGAAAACTACTTCTTTTTGGTACTTTCTGCCTCCACTTCACCTATGTAAACCTATAGTGCCCCGGCCTCGCTTAAAGGGTGCTTGCAAACAGGGTTGTAAGAGCTGTGCCTGCTGAACCCAACACTCGTCCCGGAGTTATTAACATTTCAAAAGACAATGAGACAAATTCTGCTCGCAGCTACATCCCTGTTTGACTTCAGTGGGCGGGGGAAGGTAATCTGGGAGCAGAAGTTGGTCCTTTAACTTCGGGAGCCATCTCGGTCGATTAGAAGCACAAAGCAAGGATTTGCTTATCCAAGGCCATTATTTTCCAGAACTGTACCACAGATGCCAAAGTAGGTGTCTCTCTCTCAGAACACATTTTCCCTGCTCCCAGTCAACTTATCACAGACTTTAAGTAAACAGCGGGGGTCCGGGAGGGGGATTTTCAAGAAGAGCAGCTAGAGAGGTTTTACTTTTCCACACCCTTTCCCCCCCCCTTTATTTTCGTAGATTCGTCTGAAGAGTGAAAGGATGGCTTTGAACAGCTCTGGAGAGGAAAGGCCACTACCGTAGGAACCTGGTGTAACAAAACTTGAAAACTTGTCTCAGGAATTCCCTCCTCAAGCCCTGCTGCTAGCTGCTCTCCATACCAGAGAAAGGGAAGGGTATTTTGGGTCCAAAAGGTTAAGGGTTTAGAGGTCACTCTTCCCGGCTGAAATACAACTAATCGAATAGAAAATTTGTCCTCTGGGTGAACCTGTTCCTGCAATTTAGCCGAACTTCAGTAAAATACCTTTTCAGCTTCTCAACGTGAAGGCGCCAGAAAAAAAGACGTCTTTACTATGTATGAACTCGGTGCTTTTTGTCATAGAAACAATGATGCGAATAATGCGGGAATATCCATCTTTAATATCACGACGTGGAGATATTCAAGTATTGCCATGTGCAAGTCTGAGAACTGGGCTAACCCTAAGGAAGAACAAAGAGTTTTCTCCAGGCTCTAAAACAAAAGGCCAAGTCTTAAAGACACTTTGTGGACTTCTAGGAACGAGAAAAAGGCAGAAATTAACTGCTGGCCACAGTTAACACTGCTGGATACACCCTTGTTGAAAAGTTCGCTTTTTATTTTCGAATTCATTTAATCCCATTTTGGCCGCTGTTTTCCAGAGAGAGACCAAAAGCCTTGAGTCCTCGATGGGAAGCACCCAGCCTGGAGAAGGGCACGTTAACTCAGCCCCTGCTCTTTCCACCTCCCTTCAGTTTTGGTATGAGTTTCATTCTTTGCCCCTTTTCTCTTTAATGAAGGGACCACCTCGTTACAATTTCGACTATATGGTTTCTCTCCCAGGCTGCCCTGAGGGTACAGGAGATAAGGGCTGAGCTTTAAAATCGCCTGAGCGGAGGTGTAAGTGGCTGAGGGAGCTGGTTTGGTTGGCTTTCGTAGTTACAGCGCACTAAAACTTTGGCAACCAGCAGTGAGGGCCAAATCAGTGAGTATTAGACGAGCTCTATTCCCATGCAAGCCTTTCCTCTTTCCATGAAAGCAACTTGCTGAGCTTTCCAACCGTTGCAGTCATGTGTCGTGGTTTGCTTAAAAACAATCAGCGTTCTTAAAACAAACAAAAAACAACAACACCAAAAACCTAAACAAACCCAAACCACAAAAATCCAACAGACCAAAATAAACCTAAAACAAAACAAGACAGCAGCCAACATAGCCTATCTCTCTTTAGCAGAAAAGAAATTTGAAATCTGCTTGAAATAATGTATTCAGTTTTCAGCTTTGAATGGCTCAGGTTATATCAGAAATCACATTAACTTTTCACTTTTTTTTTGTGACAGTGGTAGTTCTATTGTTTGTTTCGAGTTTGTTGGGGTTTGGGTTTGTTTTTTTTTGGGGGGAGGTGTTTTTTGTGGTCTCCCCTCTTTTTTTTCATTTTTTTTCCCTTTCCATTTTTAAAATGAGGTATTGATGGTTTAAAGCACAGCGCTGAGCAGCAGACTTTGGAAACAGATTTCAAGCCTGTAAGCTCTGGATGGCACACGATAAGGAGCAGGGACGCTTTTCCTATTCACAAAGGAGGAAAATAATAAAAAAAGGGGGGACAAGAAAGTTGTGTACGTTCAAGACAAGTAAACATTACATATGTGTTGATGAGATTGGGAAGGAGAAATACTGTATTTCAGCTCCTTTTCCCCGTTTTTGGTTTGACTATTTTTCTTTTTGTCTTCACTCTTCTATGTAACAAATAAATAAATACGCTAACACTATCAGAACATAAAATAACCCGGTTTCACTTAATTCCTATGCACACCTTCTGAGACGTTATGGAAATGAGCAAGTATTTTCATCACACCAAGAAAGGTAAAGCAGCACAAAAAAAGTTCACATTTAATAGTCTTTATGTTCAAATAAAAGACTATACTATGAATTTCCTGTCCTCAACTTGCCCAAAATGCATCCGTGCCCAAATTACATGGGATAAAAAGACAATTAAAAGTATAAATCCCAGAATAAAGCATCCAATCTTCACTTTCGAATTCAAAACTGAAACACAGGACAGTTTCATTTTCAATGATTTATTACTTTTTAAGGACAGAAGGTCTCATTTAATATTTTCCCAATTCCCACTGCCTGCGTGATGGTTTGGTTTTTTTTTTTTCTTTCCCCTTTCTCTTTCTTTCCCCTTTTTTTGTTTTCCTTTTTTAAGTTGTGCTAGAAGAGGCAAATAAAATAAAGTCCAAAGTAGCGTCATTTTGTCTCCTTTGTACAACAGTACCTTAAAGAAAGATGACAGTTTCTCGTGTCCTTAGCTGCTACATGCAGGTTCTGCTTGGGCAGTGTCAGTTATGTACAGTACTGGTCAGAAGCGAAGGATGAAATGGAAAATTTCACCTCTTCTACAAAGTTGTCAAGTCAGTCTGATGGTCCTTGGAACCAGTTTGTAAATGGGGGTTTGAACCAGATGAAGAAGACCTGCCCTTCGTGTTGGGCAGTTTGTGGTCTTTTTTCCACTTCATTCTTCTGTTCTGAAACCAGATCTTGATCTGGCGCTCAGAGAGACACAAAGTGTGGGCTATCTCGATACGGCGGCGCCTGGTCAGGTACCTGTTAAAATGAAATTCTTTTTCCAGTTCTAGGACTTGCTGTCTGGTGTAAGCTGTGCGGGAGCGTTTAGGTTCCCCTCCGTTGTAATTGGGATTCACTGGGAAAAAAATACGGAGAACTTTACAAAGCTAATCTTGACTTGCCGGTTCGACTTTACAAAAGAAAACCTTATGAGCTGCGAGCATGTGGCCGGGCTGGATTCGTCCCAGTTGCTTACAATGGACGGGCTGCTCTCCCCCACGTTTGAGGCAGGCACTACGGGCACACGCAGCTAGGTAGTCTGGGAGCCTCTAGCAGGCTCCTAAAATGGAGTTTTATCCTGCACGGCAAAGCCCCGCGTGGCCAACAGCCTATTTCCTCAGCAATAAAAATTTATGGCGAGTGTAATTGGCCACCTCGGCTTAAAAAGCTCGTCCACGAGCCTGGCAGGGACTCGGGCAAGCGCCGCTGAGGACGATCGGAAGCAGGGTAGAAGAGCAAAGTAAGAAGAGGATCCTTACCCGAGTTTACATGGACTTTCTTCATCCAGGGATAAACTACTGCTGGCTGCTTAACTGCGGAGCCGTTTGGGGGTTTGAGGGCCGGCTGCTGGCTGCAGGCTCGCGAGTTGGACATTGGAGGCGGTGGACAATGCTCTGCTGGGCCGGGGAAGTGGCTTGCCGGGCCGGATTGCTCCTGTCCGTGACCCCGCGGCTGCCCGGCAGAGCCTTGGGCATTGCTACAGCTAAAGGGTTGCTCGCTGTAGTTTGACCGTGGATAGAGTCCCTGGTGCTGGAAATCAGAGCCTTGCGAGGCACTGTAGTACTCGGCCCCCTGCTCGCCTAGGTAGCTATTCTGCAAATATTCCTCGCAAGGAGGAAATTTGGGATCCACATACTTAGAGTTCACCATATACGAACTCATGGCCATTAATTTCTGAAGGTAGAAAATACTAATTTTTCTCGTGTTGTCTTTTTTTCCCCTGCCATAGAGCCCTCCTACTTGCTGTCAACTGAATAAAGTTAGGCGGGCATGTGACCGGCCCGGCCAATGGGGAGCCGGGCGCCCACCGCCGCATTTCCCCGCATTTCCCCCGATTCCACTCAATAACATCCCTCTGACTGGGTGACCCCCCTCTCCGGCGGGCCGCACCCCCAAACCAGGTACCGGAGGTGTAGGGGTACCCCGGGGCGGTGGCCGCTGCCCTGCCCACAGCCTTTTGTCTGAGCCGGCTTCCCCCAGCCCCGGGGGATGCAGACCCACCGCCTGATTTACCAGCCAGCATCACCGCCGGGGCTTGGTACCTTGCTTTAAATAAAATTAAAAAAAAAAAAAAAAAACAACAAACAAACAAACAAAAAACATCGAAAGGAATATACGGAGCGGTGAGCTGAAGCGGGGTTAAAAGAGAGGAAACCGGTAAGCAGTAGAGGAAAAGAAAAGCCGTCAAAGAAGAGGGTAATATGATGTACAATAGATCTGTCCTGTCTTTGTCTCGCAGAGGTCATCCAAAAGTTACCAGAATTTAGTTCTGCTGAATAAAATTAGGCAATCAGTAACTTCTCATTCGCTTTCAAGCCTCAATATATACGTGTGCATACGTATGCGCGCCCAGACGCAAACGCCAACGTTTAAATATAAATCTATACATGTATGTATGTAAAATCATACAGATGGCAAGAAACAGTTCACTTTTAACTACTAAAGTTCAATCAACTGAACTGGTGACGTCATTTAATTAGGTTAAAAATATCACGGGTTTAATGAGATAAATTCGGTCTTCATTCATCAATATCATGCCTGGAGCACAAGTAAATACATTCCAGTGAGACGAAGGCTGCTTTTGCTGCTGTCGTAAATATTTTGGTGTGATCTGGACCCTTGACAGAGAAATTTTGCTAACGTCTGGCATATCTAGCTAATTTATGAGTATCTTTTAAAAGAGTCATTCACTGATTGGTAAATAATTTCTTTCTCCTCCCCCCTTCCCCCCGAAAATTTGTAGCTTCTGGTGAGATTAATTGTTTAAATTCACAGATTTTCGGTGAAAGTTAGGACTGAAAGACAATTGAAGTTTAAAAAAAGTCCTAAAACCTAGCAATTAGGAGCGAGGCAGCAAAACTTTTATAATTTTTGAGTGTTCAGCACGCACATGCCTCTTGATTCCACCCGTATTTAAACTTCTAACCATTTGCAGAAAGGTGAAGTTTTTGCATCGACCATATATTCCCCTAGAATCGAATCTGTGACTATATGAATATCACACAAATTCGGTTCTACAGGGTATATATAGACAACGTAATAACATTCTGTTTTCATCTATAATATAGCAGGTCTTTTCAATTCTCTTAGTTTCTTACTGTCTTCTGAGGAATGTAAACTATTCTGCTGGGACTCAGTTCTGAAATATGGATTTGCAGGAAGGTGGGATTTCGGAAAAGATTCACTCTTGTTATAATTGTTGCAATAGAGCTATACGAGTCTCCACCAAATCATAACGACGAATTTCGCCTACCAAATTCTCAGAAAGACCTGCCGTTCTCTTTAAATTCTCTGCCGTTTACGTCCTCGCTACGGAAAACTGACCTGATCGGTCAAATTGTGCTATTTAGAATAATAATGGTTAAAGTAATTTAGAAAGGAGTCTTTAACTATTTAGACTAACACGAATCCGAAGAGATTCTCCATAATCAGAAATCCCCCCCCCCAAATAAAAAAGAATTAAAAAAAAAAACCACAAACGAAACAGAAGTAAAACAGTTGACAACAGAAACAGCGGTTGGTGAAAAAGATGAGATTAAAGGCTGGAGTTAGTTGCTCTCGGGAAGAACAGAGTTTCCAAATTTACCTTCATCCCATTATGCTGGTCTAGCTATTATCCCTGCGAGCTGCCCGCGAGCCGCAGCCTCGCACCCTCCCAGGTTTTCCCCGCCGTAGCGTTTATGGTGAAGGGCAGGGCGAGAGGTCAGCCGAAATCATTTACAAACATATCACAAAGTTTCATTATTTTTACTTTGTCGACAGCGGCACACAGGAGTACAAAAGTTCATGAATTGTGTCTGACCCAGCTCCTCACTGCTGTCCTGCGGTCAACCTCTTCTCCTTCCACTATTTAAAACAGGCACCATAAGGACAAATAATGGTGCGGGTGCGATACATCCAACCACTGCGGAGGGCGGATTTGGGGGTGTTGCGCTTATCCGAGCGGTGTGTACCAGTTTGTTTGCCTGGTTCCAACTCTCAACTGCCTGATCTGGGAGATGCTATTTTTAAACATCTGCTTTCTTACCACTACTGTGATGCCTTCTTCACAGCAAGTGCAGCTAGAAGCGACTTTGTGCCCTTAATCCCCCCCCCCGCTTATTTAAATCTCCACACAACTATTTTAAGCGCCTCGCCCCGCTTTCTCCTCCTTTCTCTGAGGGGAGGGGGTACCCCCCGCCTCCGCGGGGGTTATTAACCACCCGGCTGAACTGGCAGGGTAACACCCCCCGCCCCCCAGTGCGAGCTCGCGTTTGGGGCAGCCCCCAGGAGCGGACAAGCCCGCCGAGGGCTGCCCAGGGAGAAGCGAAGGGTCTGGGGAAGCAGCAGCTCCCTGCTCTGCTTAATACTACACATTTTCATATTTGTTAGACGCTGTGACCTGCGTTTCACCTTATTGCACGACTTGCTCAGACAGGTCAAAGCCAAAGAGTTATTGATGAACAAAAGCGTTATATATTCACCTCCTGTTCTTCTGCCCATACAAAATACTTTTGATCTATCAGGCTTTTTGTATTCTGGTTCATAGTCAGTATGCTAAATGTACGTTAGCAGAAAACAAGTAATCCATACGTCTAGGGCCAGCCTCGGAATAAAATGCCAAGGACATCTACGTAACGCAGGGCTGAGCTACGAAGGGAGGAAAGTTACCTATGGAACACAGTTAAAACTGCAATGCTGAAGGCGATTCTTTAGTTCGTATTTATAGGGCTCGAAAATCAATAGAGCCACGTAAGGCAAAAAGACAAGGAGAAGCTTAGCACAGGCAATGAAATAGGTTATTTATCAGGAAGCAAGGAGAGAAAACGGGAAAATGCAAACAAACACAGTTCCTCTCCTCTACATGCTCCCGGTCAGAGTGGGATTGGTAGTAGCGGGGAGGGCAGTGTAGAACGTAATGCATCTTCAAATATCGCAAGCTTTCTTTCCCTCTTTGAGAGACGAGCCAGTCTCAGCCTAGAACACCAGGAGTGATGCTCTTAACTCCTCACTACAGCCAGAAAGGTTCAACAGCATTTCCTGATGCACATTTATCCGCTGCCCTCCTCTCGGTCCCCCCAGAGCAGCTCAAGCAGGACCATCTGGGGTGCGAAAAGCCCTACAATAAAAGATTGCCTTCCTAAGCTCTGATACCCATTCCCGTGCCTTCACAACATTTAAATCCACATTAAAGTCTTCCCTGCCCGGAGAGAATGAGCAGCAGCGGATCAGCTCTACCACCCGCAGGACTCAGATGCAGCTGGGCTGTCCCGGCTGGCCAGCGCGGACCTCTCCCAGTTCCCATCACTTCTTTCACCCAGTCACCAGGCTGTATCAAACGAGGGGAACATCAGAAAGCAGGCACAGCTCTGCTTGGGATCCCATCTGGAGAAAACAGTGGGAGTAGCCAAGGTTATGAGGCGCTGGGACACAACGTGATCCGTTCGGGTTCTGCACGGGGAGGCGCTGTACAGTCCCGCCTAGTTGAAATGGAAACGCTGCTAATTGCCTTGGAGTGCTTAAGAGCAGGAGGACACCTGTACAGCCCTGTAATAAACCCCCAGGAGACTGCACCTCTGCTTTTAGTGCTAGCCAGAGTTATGACATGGTACCACAAACCAACTCCACAAGAGCCTTCACATGCTGACGTGGTCGTTTTCTTTCCTTTTTTTTTTTTAAATTAATTAATTTATTTATGTTGAGTAGCAATATTCATCAGGCATCATCATTTTTAATTTTTCCAGTCTGAATGGAAGAAACAGGATTTTCAAGCAACTCAGACTCTACAAGAAATAAGAGGTTACTTACCGTAGATGTCCTTCCATGCTGCTGAACCTGTTGCAATAAAAACGTTTGTTACTGTTGTATTCCACATACGGGTGATATTTCTGGAGAATGGTTACAAACCACGTTTGATAGATGAAGGCAGAGAGGAACTGATGGTAAATCCTGCGAGCAGCTGAGTGGTGGGATGGAAGCCCCTTCCAAATGAGGACCACGTTGCATTCAGGCAGTTTTTTATGAACACACGCTTTCCCTGTGCCCGGGGTGTGATCTTTCACTTTTAATATTCATAGTCTAAATTTTATACCGGATAATTTCTAAAGACGTGAAAAGTCAGAGCTCACTCTTTCACTGACGGAAAAGATGGAAAAGAAGAATAACAAAGGCTTTTCTTTTTNAATATTCATAGTCTAAATTTTATACCGGATAATTTCTAAAGACGTGAAAAGTCAGAGCTCACTCTTTCACTGACGGAAAAGATGGAAAAGAAGAAAAAAAAAGGCTTTTTTTTTTTTTTTTTTTTTTTTTTTTTTTTTTTTTTTTTGTTCTGTGGCAATCCAGTCACTTAGAAATGAAATATTCAGATCACCTTTGCTAAACCATCACCCACAAAATGTCACAATACGCCATGCAACATCATATCCATGTAGAGCACAGAAAGAACTACAGGTCTATTAGAATGAATATCCGGTTACTTTAAGATAGATCCCTTTTAAGATCACCTAATTAACCTATCAGTAACCACGAGACATACATCTTTGTTTGCACTATGGAAGGATAGATTTAACTTGAACCTTCCTTCAAATATTTTAATAAATATATTCAAAGAGCACAATAAGGGAAACAAAAACACGTGCTTACTCTAATGCTCCTGAAAAGCGTCGTATATTCAAAAGTAAATACTAATGGGGAATCCTCTTCTCTAAGCTATTTTTCACCTCCTCTATTGCCTTCCTACGATATCTTGGAGAGTTATTGTTTTAAACACAGGACAATTGCCTAGATATCAATAGTTCACTAAATAGAGCTTCCCAAGACCGTTTTTGGTTGGATTTTTTTGTGTGTGTTTTTTTTAGTTCTGCCCACTCTGGATAACATACAGAGCCTGGGAGGAGAGTGGACTAATATCAGCATTTTGCCACTAAGCATTCTTTTTTTTTTTTTTAATTTTTAAATTTTAATTAAAAAAAAAATGGTTAGCTGCAAATAAGAAATCCCATCAAATTCAGAAATGTCAGACAGAGACCAGCCGGCTCATCCCGGCGCACCCC